GAGTTCCTTATAGACTTTGGATATTAACCCTTTATCTGATATGTCATTTGCAACTATCTTTTCCCATTCCGTTGGTTGCCTATTAGTTTTCTGGGTTGTTTCCTTGGCTGTGCAGAAGCTTTTAATCTTGATGAGGTCCCAATCGTTTATTTTTGCTCTCGATTCCCTTGCTTTTGGGGATGTGTCAAGTAAGAAGTTGCTGCGGTGGAGGTCAAGGAGGTTGTTTCCTGCTTTCTCCTCTAGGGTGTTGATAGTTTCCTGTCTCACGTTCAGGTCCTTTATCCATTTTGAGTTTATTTTTGTGTATGGTGTGAGAAAATGATCTAATTTCATTCTTCTGCATGTTGCTGTCCAGTTCTCCCAACACCATCTGTTAAAGAGGCTGTCTTTTTTCCATTGGATATTCTTTCCTGCTTTGTCAAAGATTAGCTGGCTGTATACCTTTGGGTCCAGCTCTGAGTTCTCAATTCTATTCCATTGGTCTATGTGTCTGTTTTTGTGCCGATACCATACTGTCTTGTTGATGACAGCTTTGTAGTAGAGGCTAAAGTCTGGGGTGGTGATATCTCCCATTTTGGTTTTATTCTTCAGTATTACTTTGGCTATTCGGAGTCTTTTGTGGTTCCATACAAATTTTAGGATAGTTTGTTCTAGTTTTGAGAAGTATGCTCATGCAATTTTGATTGGAATTGCATTGAATATGTAGAGTGCTTTGAGTAGTAATGACATTTTAACTATATTTGTTCTTCCGATCCATGAGCATGGAATGTTTTTCCTTTCTTTTTGTCTTCTTCAATTTCCTTCATACGTTTTCTATAGTTTACATCATACAGATCTCTTATTTCTTTGGTTAGGTTTATTCCTAGGTATTTTATGTTTTTTTGTGCAATTGTTAATGGGATCAGTTTCTTGATTTCTCTTTCTGTAGCTTCATTATTGATGTATAAGAATGCAACTGATTTCTGTATGTTGATTTTGTACCCTGCAAGTTTGCTGAATTCATTGATCAGTTCTAGTAGGCTTCTGGTGGAGACTGTTGGGTTTTCCATGTAGAGTATCAAATCATCTGCGAAAAGTGAAAGTTTGACTTCAATATTTGCCAATTCTGATGCCTTTTATTTCCTTCTGTTGTCTGATTGCTGATGCTAAGACTTTCAGCACTATTTTAAACAACAGTGGTGAGAGTGGATATTCCTGTTGTGTTCCTGATTTCAGGGGGAAAACTCTGTTTTTCCCCATTGAGGATGATCTTAGGTGAGGGCTTCTCATAGATGGCTTTTATGATGTTTAAGTAAGTTCCTTCTGTCCCGACTTTCTCAGGGATCTTTATTAAGACGCGATGCTGTACATCCCTCCTCATCAGGGAAATACAAATCAAAACCACACTGACATACCACCTCACACCAGTCAGAGTGGCTAAAATGAGCAAATCAGAGGACTCGAGATGCTGGTGAGGATGTGGAGAAACGGGCACCCTCCTACACTGTTGGTGGGAATGCAAACTCGTGCAGCCCCTCTGGAAAACAGTGTGGAGGTTCCTCAGAAAGTTATCAGTAGAACTCCCCTATG